GAATTCTGGGAGTTGAAGTCCAGACATCTTCAAGTGGCCAAGGTTGAAAAACACTGATGTAGAATGAAACAGCTGAAACAGATTTCCACTGATATCTAGAGGAGTGATTCTTTACATTAATACATGTGTGCATCAAACAGACTGAGTAGAGTACACAAAATCAAGAGGACTATAGATTCTTAGTTGCCTGTACATCTTTCTCCTTGTCTAATTCCAATCCTCTTTTCTTCCTTCAATACTACTTTTCCTTTGTGTGCATAAACTCATGCGTTTTGTGACCTCCATCTCCATGCCACACCATCGGAGGTGACAATATCAACAAAAACAAAAAGCTTTTGATGTCTCAAAGTCTCGATCTTGCCTGGCAAGTTATATACATTTTTAAATGCCCCGGGGGATTTAAAAGGAAACTAAAAAAAACAAACATAGGAGGCCTGGCGTTCTGAACTTTCAAGTGGGAACACTTCTTAAGCAGGAATGAATCAAAAGGCCACATGCTCGGCGGCAGCAGAAGGAAGGGGGAGCACAAAAAAGATTTGATGAACATGTTCCACTTGCCCCCTCCCTATTACCCTTTCTCTCATTGCCCCCCACCCCCTTGTACTTTATCCAGTAATCAAAGGATATTCTGAGCCTCTCAAAAGCCATCATCCGTCATTGAAAATGAAATGAAGCACATCTTCTTCAAAGCTTTTACAGAAGTAATCATTGTAGAAGCAAGAGGAAAAGGTCTCAGAGAGAGAGAAGGAGGGAGGGAGGGAAAGGGAGAGCGAGAGAGATTTGAATGAGTGGTAAGAGTAGAGAGCCTAAACATCTGAATACAAAGTTGATGATAATATTCTCAATTTCATTATGTAAGAGATAAAGAAAACTATAATTGGATATTCTTGGCCTGAGAAAGGAAATAATAGCTGCATTGATGAAATTTTTCTGTTTCACTTGAGTTAATGTAGATCTTGGAATCTACAACAATAATGCATTCAAAAATATTTAGAGAGAGAAAATAATAATTACCATTTTAAGTCTAAATCTTCTTACTCCTCGGGTTTCCTTTTATAACTCTTATTTGTTATTTATAATTGTTATTTCTGTTTATTCGTTAAGAACAATGAATGAAGAAGGCTACTTTTTTTTTGTAAAATGTATTTTACCTCATACAGCTCTGCATAGTACAGATTATCATTATGACCCAAACATTAACAAAAATGTATATGCACCAGTGGTGGGTTTCAAAAATTGTTCGAACCTACTCTGTGGGTGTGGCCTCCTTTGTGGGAGTGGCTT